ATCGGCGGACAAAGGCGGTTTCTCGCAGCTTAAGTACAGTTTTTTGTTTTACGCCGGTTTTTCCCGAAGTCGCAAAAGTATGACATCACAACATTCTGATTGGTCACTTGCAATGTTGATCCTGGAACAACCTTTAGTATGATGATCTGGGAACAACACCAACACGAGGATATCAGATCGTGCCTAGAAGTCGAGTGTTCACAGTTTCATATTATTGTGAGTTGTGAGTCTCTACCTCACTTTAGAAAACACCTTGAAGCAGCAGCTGCTCCCTAAAAATAAAACTTAACTAAATGCAGGCTTTGACAGAGCGCTGGGGTTAAACTGCAAAAAGTGAAACGTGTATTTCAAATCTGTGCCGTCTTGCTGGGATATTTTCAACTGGTAATGACAAGAGATCATTCCCAGTTTTGCTGAATAACCTCCTGACCCACCCTCAGGGAATCTTCCTCTGTGTCTGATTTCAAGGAAATAAGAGGATGTGGATTGTAGTTGTAGAGAACCAACCAGACCAAACGTGAAAGGAGAGCAGTCTCTACTAAAGCCCCCGTGGAAGGAAACTAATGAAAGCTGCAGGCCTAAGAAACAGACCACCATCCATCACTGCCGTGCAGTCGTTACACTCAACCCACATAACCTGACATCTTACTACAGTGAACGGATGGACAGACACGACGACACTCGAGCTTCTCCCACATCAACGGAACGAACGATTGTGTCTTTATCGAGCCTCTGACAGGCCGATCCTTACCGCCCACCTCCCTGCAGAGGCCAGAGCGATGGATTAGAATCAGTGCATTGATTGGAAATAAATAGAAGTGCTGTGTGATGTTGATGCTTCTTCTATACTTTGCTGCAGCGCACACTCGTAGTTTGCTCATGACTCATTTATTTTTTGAATATTTCCTGTTTCACTGACAGCAAAAATGCTCTGATTAAGTTCAAGAATGCGGCAACAAATGCGAGGTCGTGATCAGGTTTCAAAGTTTGACTATTTTTGTACCTTCAGCTGCTTAAAAACACATTTTATTCCATAAACATTTCAGTCACAACTATGAGCACTGGAGAGTGGTTGTCATATTTTCCCATGCCGAGCAGGGACCGCTACTTTAACTGCATACAAACACGGAGATTAAATTAGCTCCACAAAAAATAGGATTTGCTTTTAGGTCATCTGAAACGCCTCGCTTTTAATTACAGCACAGCTCAGGCAGCCGTTCATTACACACAAACCTTTTGCTGACTAAACTGGCAAAGCTTCATTTGAGTTCATGGCTCATGGAAACATT